TATATATATATATTAATGCTGCTGTAGATATGGTAAATATCATAATCGTCGGCTGGGAAGCAGCTTTCAAAAGTGCCTTTGTCCAACAACATCACCAATCGCAGAAAAACAAAGGACCTCCAATGTTCAGTTAATTGAAAAAATAAAAAGGAAGAAATTTGGGTTACAGCTGGATGAGGACACAAATACAGTAATAATAATGATGTTCACTCGATTTGTTATGTACAGTTTATAGATAGTAATAACATTGTAGAAGACTTTCTCTTTTGTAAAAGTATCGCTGCTGGTGCTAAGGCTCACGACTTGTTAGAGATTCTTGATATTTTTATATTCGAAAATAATTTGGAGTTGTGGAAATGCATTGGTATCTGTACCAATGGTGCTCGTTGTATGTCCGGATGTTATGAGGGATTGCAAGCACTTTCTCGAAGCAAAGACCCGATGCACTGTGGACTCATTGAGTTATTCACAGGGAAGTACTCGCATCAAAATATTTGAGTCCTACATTGAACCATACCATAGAATATGTAGTAAATGTTGTAAACTTTATAAAAACTCGGCCGTTGAAAGCAAGATTTTTCAAAAAATTATGTGAGTTTAATTAATTAAAAGTTGGGAATCAAAAAAGTTTGGGAACTTTTTTGATTCCCAAATTATTGATGGCGGCACTCAATTATTAAAAGTTAAGAAGGCCGTACCAAAGGCTTAGCCTTAGAAGAGAAGTGAGAAGAGGATAAGAGAGGTGGAAGGGGAAGATGGGGTAAGTATGATAGGAAAGTGTGAAGAAGAGATTTGTGAGCGTCCAGCACCCTGCTCCGTTTATTGGAACCCAAATAAGTGTAATACAAAATGTAGGTACATGCCTGAAGAAAAACAATGAAACTGCTCCAATTTGTAGAGTACAACAGACCGCGGATTAAACAAAGATCATAGACAACTCGCGACTTAGCGAATACAAATGTACAGTACATGACAGTTTAGACCGAACAAAACATAACATAACATAACATGAACCCCAGCTTGGGGGGACCCTGAAGACCTAGTATTAGTTATACTGGTCCAGGGGAACAAAAGAGGGACAAGTGGCCTGAACCACTAGGCTAGCGCGTATAAAAGAAAGAAAGTTAATCGTACAACAGTGTTTCTCAACGGGGGCGATATCGCCCCCATATGGGCGTTTTTCCATGTTTAGGGGGCGATTAGTAACAATTTATATTTTGGGGGGCGAAAAGCAATTTCCTGGGCGATATAGTAAAACATTATATTAAGAATAATTAGATATTTTATTCGTTATATCGTACAATAATTAAACAAATAACATTATACTAGTCACTAGTCTATACAATGCAGTACGAATTTGACGTTAGCCTCGTCCCTCGGCATCGGAATTTTGTAGTGAAGGGCGATACTACGTAGCGGTTTTATTGAAGGGGCGATACTACGTAGCGGTTTTACTGAAGGGGGCGATACTACGTAACGGTGTTATTGAAGGGAGCGATACTACGTAGTGGTTTTATTGAAGGGGGGCGATACTACGTTGAAGGGAGCGACGATTCGTTAGAGGTTGAGAAACACTGCCGTACAACCTTGCCAGGCTATCCAGGCTGGTTGCATTGCTGAGGCAGTTTGGAAACCACTGTAATATATATATATAGTATATATAAATGCAAAGTATAAAGAAGCATGAGTTACACATTAGTATAAATATTACTATAAGTAGCTTTATTTCATTAAAAGTTAATAAAAATTTCTATCAAATTTAAGTAATGTGAAAACAGTACGACAATTGAATAATTTATAAAACAAACAAGTCCGGAAAGTAAAAAAGTATTTAATTTAATTTTTCTATCTGTTGATAGTGTGAAGAATTTAGTTCACACTTTGAAAAAATGTAAAATTGAAATTAAGTAATGCCTTTAACTTAATAGTGCATAATTGTCACGTAAGTAACACAAACGGAAATAATTCAAATAAAGTTTATTTTAATAATTTAAAAACACCTAATTCCTTCTTCTTAATAATACATCTACATCTGACAGCACGAAACTAACATATATATTACTAAAAGGTAAAGTATTATTTATTCTTTGTAACATATTAAAAAAGAATAAATAATAAAGAACAAAACTTATACGTATAATGTAATATTTTATTCTTACGTACTTCGTTTAAGAAATATTTCAGAAGTTTTGTATTTTAAATTGTCTTGATCTTTGTCTGACAAAATAAATACATTTAATTATAATTCATTCGAATGAAAATATTTTATGTTCTACTGATGTTATTAATATATAACGTTCAAAACATAATGAAATTTATTCTTAAAAAATCGAAAACTTTAAAGAAAGAAAGACAGGGTGTCCCAAAAGTCTTCATACATACATACATACATACGTACGTACTTACATACATGAAAGATAAGATGTTTAGCTGGCAGAAAAGAGGGTAAGGGAAAGGGGGGAAGAAGGAGGGTGAGTAGAGAAAGGTAGGATCACTCTGAATGGCGTACGTATTGCTACTGTTTGTTATTGGCGTGCAGTTTTTAGGCTGCAAGGGCGTAGTCCTCCGAAGGGTCTAAAAGAAAACCTGAGTGTAACGAATATCAATAATTGAGTGCCGCCACGAATAGCTAAGTATAGAAGTTAGTGCCAAGTGGCTGTTAGTAGGAAGACTTATATCTACTTAATACTAATAAAACTGAACGTGAGCGCAAATCTTAATACTATTAACAGTTTGTTCCCTTCAAGAATAGCAGTTCTCATTAAACTATCCCTTATGTGATTGTAACTATTACAGCGAAAAACTAAGTGAAGTGCTGTTTGGTACTCCCGAATACTACGTAACGGTGGATTGTTCCCAAGGTTAAATCTATGCAAGTTTTGCTTAAAGTTGCCGTGTCCTGTAAGTAGCTGAGTCAGGATATAACTAGTGTAACAGTGACGTAGAATCGCAGTAATGTCAACCTTAGGGATAAAAGCGTAAGTGAGCCTACCACTGGTATCACGGTCCCAGTTGTCTTACCAGAGAATGAAGATTTGCTTCTTGACGCGATTATTAATTTACGAGGTAGAAATGTAACTGAAAGTACTAGTGACTGAAGACTTTGAAGCTTGTTTGGCAAGACGGTCGGTGGTCTCGTTTCCAAGAACCCCCGCATGACCCGGGACCCATTGGAAATCTATTCTAATGTTGTCTAAATGTCTGAGAATGTGATGTATGAGATGGACGAGTTTTAAGCAGCTATCAGATTTTGCAATCCTGTGTAAAGCTACCCTTCTGTCAGAATAAATGCGATGGTGTAAGTGGTGTCTGTTGTCCTTCCTATGCCTAATGTGAAATAACTCATATAAATAGCTAAAGTTTCCGTCTGTGCTATTGAGCAGAGTGTACGTAAACGGAAGCGAGCGTTGTGAAGCTGATGGCCTAAGTCGGAATAAACTACAAAAGCGGCACCCAAATCGTCCCCCATCTTGTAACCCTCAGTGTAAATCTTAAACATGGGATGATTACCTGGATCTTCGAAGTAAACGTCAGGGGCAAGCTGATGGGAGGAGTGGTAATCGTAAGTCGGGAGGGTATTTTTGTCCATGCTGAATTTTTTGATGTCATCGATCAAGGTCAAACTGGGGAACTTAACTAAACTAATCATTTTGTCGACATTCGAGTCGCTATAATCTCGCCAGGGTAAGGTGACCGCCAAATAATGCGTTTAATTTCTACGTCGATAGAGGTCAACCCTGACATTACCAAAAGGGCACTATTGGGTGCGGTCCTATAACCCTTACAAATGCGGAGAGCTGCAATCCTTTGAACAGAACAGTTTTTTACGGTTATGGACTTTGGCAGCTACGTGGCTCCAGACCTGTACGGCATAGAGAAGTGCTGGCTGAATTGCACTCCTGTAAATAAGCTTAGTAGCGTTAGGACCAAGTGTTCCTAGCAATACTAATGAGGGCGTTGGCCATGTTTTAGCTTTGTCCGTAATGTATTTGATGTGGAGTGTGAAGTTAATTCTCTCGTCAAGAATAACATCTAAATATTTAATTTCCGTTGTTTGCTTTATTCTGTGAGCACTTGTTCGAAGGATAAGCTTCTTGACGAGCCTACCAACTATCATGCTTTCGCATTTGTCTGTATTAATGGGTTGCCTATGCTTAATACTCCAATGGTGAATGTTATTAGGAATGTTGTTGCATATGTCTTGTAATCGTTCACTGTTCTTGTGTGAAGCTGTGTGTTGTCCGCATAGCCCTATATGCTGCAACCAAGAGGCAGGGTGTCGTTTGATTAAAAAAATAGACTTATAAGCTATGTTCCAGAGACCAGGACCAGACTTGGATCCCTGAGGACAGCCCAAAGTGATGAGTATGATTATGTTATTTAGTGTTGTAAAATAACATAATCATAACATAATCATAAAGTCTCCATACAGTGACACAAATCAAGCCCACCAGTGGCCGAATAAATAAAACCATTGAACACTGGTAATTGGTCATTGGTCATTGGTTAGGTGTTAGACGAAAGAAAACCCAGAACACTGCATGGCTGGCCACCATGCAGTGTTCTGGGTTTTCTTTGTGTCTAATACCTAAACAGAATCTAGTTTCCACATAAGAAGTCCTGCTAGAAGTTACCTCACTGGCTGATTCATTGCCTTATTCCGTCAATCCGCTGACACAAATCTTAATGATGTTTTGTGAATAAAGTTACATTTCATGTTTGTTTGTATGGAAACTTTTGGGACACCCTGTAATTAATTAGTTAAGAAACAACAATACTGGATGGTATTTCAGCTTATAGCTTCAACAATAACTTGACAAAAAAATTTGATAGAGTTTTCTACAACTTACCATTAGGTCATCTCCTACGGAACTTTCATTTTTACAAAAATATTCAAAATGTTTACAGAGTGCTTTAACATCATCAGGGTCTTCAACTTTTTCACAATTATCCGGAAACGCTTCACAATACGATGAGCGACGGATCCTATCAATAGAAAATTATTAGTTATAATAAAAAGTTTTAAAGTAATTTTTCAGTTTATACTAGTATTAAACACTACAATGTATCCTTTTATATAAATTAAAAATGATATCATTGAAAAATTAAAACAATATTAACTGTTAATAGACAGTTATTACTATACCCATTGATATCGCAGACAGTCACCAAAGGTCTGGGAAGAGTAGATTCATTTTGATACTTTACCAAAACTTCCAAAGTTGTCGGATATGTTAAATAAAGCATTATAAAAGAAATTAAATGATAGAAGAAACCAGTTAAACACAGAAAGAACACACACGTTCTAAAAGTTTTCCTCCTCGTATTTCTTTCTGTCACTATTTGAGGCACACCCGTTAACAGAACGTTTTCTAATAGATTTAGAAAGTATAACCATTTTTCTTTCCAAGTTGGCTTCTTGTTTCTTCTGTTATTAACTTCATCCATTTTATCTGTTAATGTAAAGGATATAGGACGTTTCTTAAAAATTTAAGCTACAGTGTTATTCTAGTATTCTAGTGCCTTAATAATAAATATTATTATAAAAACCTGCTTAGAAACTACAAGTCAAGGCCAAAAGTCAAAAGGAAACTAAAGTATGTGGTCTTTCATGTTTATAAATATTATACAACGATACCAATAAATACTTATACTTAAATGTTTTAAAAAATTATAAATGAAATATAACCTTGTTAATTACTTGCCTTTCATTTTGAATATTTTTCTTTGCAAGATAAGAAAGCGTTATTGTTTACATCGTGGTGACAAAGTTAATTTAAAGGTTTTACTCACGTCAGCTCCTCTTCGGGGTAGAGAAAAAAATGAACAATTGAGTATAACGCCACCTACTCAATAACACGTCAAACGATCCTTGAATGTAGCAATTAACGACTAATTAGTATACTACTCGCGAATTATTAGTAGTTAATAATCTAATTAATATCTACAGAATTGTAACGTGTATCATTATGATGTAATCGACCCAAAAAATTCGATAAATATTTACATTAATCGTCTTAAAATATACAAATAATGTACAAAATTAGTCTTTAATATTAATTNTTTATCTCATTTATTGTAGTATTGTATTTCATTGGGCAGAAACATGTTAACACAAAATTTGGGAGAATGAGTTGACGACAGTCTAGTAAAACGTGTCAAACCTTAAGTCAAGGATCCATTTTCTTTCCATTTGATACGTTTTCGAGAATATTCAATACTCTAGGCTGATTCCAATCCCCTTTCGCATTAAAGTCACTTTCCTCCTCATCCCGTCGACCTTAATAACTAAAATTTAATACACTAACCTTCCTGCAAAGTTTCAGAAATTTTCGACTAAAAAGCACAGGAATTATTAAGCTTCACAGAAGGTGAACAAAACTGTGCACCCTCCCACACACTAACATCCATACATACAGAAAAAATCTACTTTTTCTGCATTTCTCGACGTTTCAATGACCCCCTGAATCCAAAAATGTAAAAATCTTGGGGCTTATTTTTCGACCAATCGCCATACTTTCCCTCTGTATTATATAACAGAGCCGAGTAAGTAAAAATCGATTGTATATTATTATATAACANACTAGAAATTTAAATAATAAATTTAAAAAATTATACTCTTATATATGTATATTTGTACTTTTATTAAAGTTTTCCTTTGCGTTATATTTAAAAGTTAATTATAAATACAAATAATAGCGTACAAAAAGCATTTTTTATTAAATATAATGGAGCTATGTTTTAAATTGAAATTAAATCCGGGTAATTAAATTACATAGAAGCTTAATTAATGAATATATTAAGCTGTACTACTTCTATAATTTCGTAAAGTATCTTAAAAAAGAAGGCTTTGAGTGTTAATTGGTAAATGTGTTCTCTGAATTTTGAATATAATTACGTGGAATTTTAATGCTTTATTAAATATATTAGCTAAAAAATTTTAATTTATTTTTGTTTTCTTTGTATATTTAGGTGTTGTTTTAAGTTTTGTTTAGGATATTTTATAAAAATGTATTACAGATTAACATATACAACGTGTATTAGCCTATTTATTCTTTGTGTAAATTATCTTTAATCTTAGAACTTTGTTTCTAGATTAGTTACTAAATATATTCTATTTAACATTTCGCTTATCTTCTTCTAAAAATAATTTTATTGATGCTTTAATTACGAATATAGCTCTTTAATTGATAGGTATATTATCTAAAATTTTTAAAATACTGACCTCTAGTTTCAAATTTCGTCATTGAAATACATAAAGATACATATCAGTGATGAATAAATACTTGAAACAGTTTGTTTATGCTTGAATCATCAAAGACGAAACGTAACACAACACGTGTGTTTAATGATAAGTTAAACAGACAGTAGAGGTTACGCAGGATGTCAGTCTATTCCTGTGTGTAGTGTCTGACTTATAAGCGTATCTTTCCTTTTTTAAAATGTTGTCGCTTCAGAATATTAAACTAAATTATTTAGAAAATTAATTGACAAAGATATTATTTCTTCGATATTTATTTAATATAACTGTCAACACATTTACGTATACATTTTTACGATGATTTATTAGCAATTAACTTGGACATAGAAAAAAAATCGGTTAGATGTTTCTCTTAAGCAACTAAATGCATAGGATCAAATATATTTTTATTAATAAAAATGTTAGGTTAATTTACTATATTAGCAATATTTAGGTCAAGGTTAAATAGAGTAATTCTAAAAAAAATGTCAGTGTCTGTATAAAGGAACCATGTTTTAATTTATTCAAATGTTTTTATTTTTTAAAACCATCATTGTGAGAAAATAGGCAAATTATATGTTGTTGTGTATATTAACAGTAGAAAATAATGAACACCGTGCCTTTTTTTTGTGTGTGTTGTGTGCCTGTGTGTGCGTGTGTGTGTTTGTTTGTTCTCATTTTCAAAAAATAACAGGTTTTAATTAAATTCGATCAGTATGTATTTACTCGTATATTTTTCTAATTAAATTATCAATATAACTTTTTTTTATAAAGTTTTTCTTTTATAATATAAAGAAGATTGGTAGCAAATAGAAACTAAACAGCATGTTATAATTAAAATACCAATTTATACAAAACTTCTATTTATATTAAACATTATTTTTGTTATATATATCAATAAGATGTAAGGGAGCTTAATATTTTAAAAGCAGTCTGTAAACAATCTTCTATTTTCCTTTTTTACAGACAATTTCACAAATATACAGTACATTTAGAAAATTTTTAAAATATAAATGTAATCTAAAAATTTTACTTAAAATTGTCATTTATGAATGATATTTCAACCGATATTTGTATGATTTCTAAAAATTAGTTAATATATTGTACAGTACTTGATCACAGGACAATATAAATTACACATAAGAAAATAGTAGTAAAGATATTATCGATTTGAATAATATAAATAATAGGTAAAAGAAAATTTCTCTCATAACCTCTGTTTACAGACGTACTTAAATTTCCCATTGCTCGCTTAAATCGCCCATCTATAGGCGATTAAGTAAAACATTTTCCAATAAAAATTGCATTCAAAACAGTGATAACTCACTTAATCACTTATGGGAGATTAAATGTGGATTTACGATATTAAGAAACTAAGTTTCTTAAAATAAATATTTATAACTTTAGACGTGTATGCCAACTTTTCTATTGAAGTATACAGAGGTTCAGTCAACTAAGATTAGAGGTATAAATATGAATCAAATTACATTTGCATGTTAAAATTAGTCAATGTTCTAGAATATATTATATTGGCAATTTCGTTAAAACATCATAATTGTAGCAGCAAAAATGAAAAAAAGTATTGTGACGGGCACACCTGTGGACTTTCCAATGCCAAATACAGCCTTTCTACGATAGTAAAAGGTCATTTTTGTAAATTTAGTGTAGGCAGCATTAGTCAAAAATGAAATCGTATACTTCCCGAGCGTATGGGCTAAGATATAAATAAGATATTGTACTAGCTTTCCTGTTTGTTAGAGAAGATGGGATCAATCCACTTCAGTGTCCTCAAGGAGAATCCCGTTACAAAAAGAAGCCTGAAAATAACTCAAACTATAGTAGGACGCATCATTTCTCTTCAATCTAAGATTAAATATAAATGTTTTATTTGTCTCCATTAAATGTTACGAAAGTAATATACAATAGAATGCTCATTTTAATTTCTTATAATACGTTTGTACAAAGAATGATCACATTTTAATTACACTCATTACTTATAGGTAATTCTTCTTTTATTAAAGTATATATAAAAACGAATATATTTTCAACAAAATCAAATAGTGCAAATAACGATATTCCTAACCATATCCAAAGGTATCCACCGATGTAACTAAATAGTTCTATCGCCTGTAAAAAACTTATCGTTAAGTAAAAATAAAACACTAATNTATGAATATTTTATTTATTGTACTCACATCAAAAAATTCGATTGGCACTTCATCTATTTCATATTCAAATATAGTATTTCTGGAAATTCCAGATTAAAGATTTTAAATGTAGTTAAAATTTTCATTAGAAATAAGTTACGGTATTAACACTCATAAGGGATATCTATTACTTACTCGCACCCAATTCTACATTTTTCATAGCATGGAGTTATGTCTATATCGTCAACGCAATATAAATCTAAAATATTACAAAATTTAAACAATTTACTATTAACAGAAAAATGTTAAAATACGTTTAAAACGCTTTAATTATTTTTTTATTATACATATTAAATTTCATAATAAAAACAGTCAGCGTGTGCATTGTTTCAAAATTATTCTTATGCATCCAATAATAAATTTAACCATTTACCACCCCCGAATACTCAAACTCCTGTATTGCATAACACAAGAATCTAATGTATATAAATACAATAGTATTTATATACATTTATTGTATACATTTATAGCATTTATTGTAGTATTGTATTTCGTTGGGCAAAAACATGTTAATACAAAATTTGGGAAAATGAGTTGACGACAGTCTAGTAAAACGTGTCAAACCTTAAGTCAAGGATTCATTTTCTTTCCATTTGATACGTTTTCGAGAATATTCAATACCCTAGGTTGATTTTAATCCCCTTTCGCATTAGAGTCACCTCCTTTGCCAGAATTGTTCTTAACTCTCCTCTACTTACATCATTTCAATTTATTCATTCTAGTTTATAACGTTTTAATTGTCGATCATATGTAACACTTTTTTATCTTCGTCCTTCTCTATCTTTGCTACATACACTCCTGACTGTCTTAAATGTTATTGTTTTTTCATTTCTTAACCTGTCAAATATACTATTCCTCTTCTTAAAAACTGCATTGATCTGTCTGTCTCTTTAACACATCTTCACAATTTTGTCATTTTTATGTTATCTTCTCTTAATCTTATTCTTCTTTCGTCTTTGATTTTTCACTCTCTTTTCCTTGTTACCACCTCTACTCTGCACTCTTCTTTCATTTTGTTTCTTATTCCTTCTACAATACCCTCCATACTATCCCTTCAGATTCTCATAAAAGTTTCACTTAACATATTAATTTTCCCTTCTAAATCTTTCACTTCTTTAAACTTAATGTCCTTCTAAAATGGTGGTACCGAGCTGCGAACTGTACTCTGTTCACACGAATATCAATGCATCAAAGATTACGTTGTATCAATATTCTTTTTTGTACATTCTAGTTATTAGTAGCCTATATATAAAATTCTTATGTATCAGTTTCAGAAATTTTCGATCAAAAAGCACACGAATTATTAAGCTTCACAGAAGGTGAACAAAATTGTGCACCCTCCCACACACTAACATCCATACATACAGAAAATAATCTAATTTTTCTGCATTTCTCGACGTTTCAATGACCCCCTGAATCCAAAAATGTAAAAATTTTGGGGCTTATTTTTCGACCAATCGCCATACTTTCCCTCTGTATTATATAACAGAGCCGAGTAAGTAAAAATCGATTGTATATTATTATATAACATCGTGAACGTCGGTGGCTGCAATTTTTATATAGCGTGTTACTATCGCGTGTATTAAAAACCTTAGAAAATACAATTTAAAAAAATAACTTATATCGTTAATTAATTAGACCTACCTTTATCGGTACAAAAGTCTTCATCTGTGTGAAAAGGATAATCCCGTGGAACACATCCACATTTTAGTAATGACATCTCTTTTTCGCAAACAGTTATACATCGCTAAGGATAAATATATGATATATTATAATTCTGTTAATAATTAACAATGTTTCAAACATTTTATAATCCGTTTGATATTATATTATAACTTATACACAAGCGACATCACGAATGGTTTTTAAAAATTAAAATATTATGCTTACATCACGTGTGTTTACTTCGTGAAATAAACCTTGCACTCGTTCGTAATAAATACAATGTGTGTTATATGGACTAGTAAGGAATTCCTCTTCTTTCTATATCGTGAGAAAATTCGAAATTCTATTATGTAATTATATATTTTAATAAGTAGAANCGAAGTGGCTTCAATACTATCTTCTTATTAAAAAGTATTTATAGTTTTTCTATTTAGAAGTAAATAAATTAAATTAAAAACTATACTGTACTTTTAGAAATTCTATAGGAGATGCTCTCACTTTATACTCGAAAATAGTTGATCTGTAAACAATAAAACAAGAATTAAAACTCTTAATTATATTAAAAACAAAGAATTTTACAAAATATATTAGTACTAACTTGCAACTAGACTTGCATATATCGGAGCAGTTACTATTATTTATTCTCAGGAGACAAGTAAAATCATCTGGAATTTAAATAATATTTATATTTAAAAATACAAAGGGAGAGGGAGGGAACTAATAATTTTTCTGTAATTCACTTTCTGTTTCGCAGAATCTTCCTTTGTAATGAAAAGGATAACTTCTGCTTATACAACCGCATTCTTGCAACCATTTTTCTTTTTTGCACTGGTACAGACAATGCTACGTAATTACAATTCGAGTTTAGAGTTAGTATAAAAATATAATTTTGATAAGAAACGTTACTTACATCTCGGCCATAAATGTTTATTACGTGTTGATTTGAATTAGAACTATAATGTATACAATGTGTTCTAAAAGACGATGTCAACAATTCTTGTTCAATCTGAAAATTTAAAGACAATCTAAGTATTAGCGGGATAATGGTATTGTTCAGATAAACTGTTCTGTAAAATCCCTTTGTTCAGATGTGTGAATAAAATGTGTTGGAGAATATCTGAAACACTTTTTTTGTCTCGAATACTCACCACCTTTAACTGAATAACGTATCTTTCGTTAGGTTTAATGTGAAATCCTTTTATAAAAGGATTAATAACTTGCTCTTTAGAATGGATAGAAACTTTTGCTCCAATAACTGCAGAAGGATTAAATAATTCCTTTGGATGGAAGCTGACATTTATAGACCTATTCACTATTATTATTATTATGATATTGAATTAAAAAATAAAAATATTAAATACATAAGTTACAAATATAAAAAAAAACCACTTACCACTTTCAATTGAATAATGTAACGATTTCCAGGTTTTATAAGTGTACCGTCTCTGAAAGGATTAATCATCTGATCCTTGGAATGAATTGACACTTTAGCTCCTATTGGAACTGTCGGTCGAAATGATTCTTCGGGATTAAATGTCAACATTACATTACCGACCGTTAAGTCGTCAGAAGCTAAGTTAAAGATAAACCAGTAATTATTTATTGTGACATCGTCACAATGCCGGTTTGCTATTTATAATCATAGCTTTAATTTACTTAATTTAAAATATATGCTCTCCATCTCAAATTAGTAGTGTTTGTTTCGTTAAATTATGGCAACGCATCATTTAGACGATCTGCTTGGGGGGGATGCCTTCCGAAAGGTGTTTTTAAGGGTAACTGGCCCCTATTCAAGCGTTACAGACGTAGAGAAAACCTGAAAAACTCTACGTGGCCAGCCTCTCCGAATGAAGCGCAAACCCACGACCGATCTCCCAGTGTTTAGGGAACGGAATCGCTTGACACTGGAGGGCTCAAATTAGTAACAATAGAGTCGTGCTAGTCATCTATTAATTGCTTTCAAGAGAAGTTTTGAATTGAAATAAGCTGACTACAGATTTGTATCAGACGTTCATATAGTTAATCGGATCGTGCTACCCCTAAGCTTAGGTTTCCATATCTTCTCTTGGATTTCATGTATATAACTCTGCTCTCGAGATTAAGGAAAGACAGACGGGCGGACGACAGTGGGAATTTATATCTACAATTGCAGCCCAATTATAACACCATATTATTAATTTTAAACAACTCTTCCAGTCCTGCGCGAACTAATGTAGCTACTTTAAAATTCCCAGCTCGGATTATAGGCCTGGTAAATTCAAGACAAATTTTAGGGACCGATATATCAAAAGATGAAAACCAGCCATGAAAGATTCCGATCCGATACCAACTCGAAATGAATTCCTAGAGTAGAAAGCTGGTATCATTAATGGTGTTGATCATCCAGCCCGATAATACTGTGAGAATGAAACAAGTTAAAAGAAGACAACTGTCGATTTTGTCAGTCGTCATACGTTCTTCATACCTTTAAGATCTGTGCCTGTGTAATATTATCTTCTGCAATTTTGTTTGTGTGCCTCCGGATTTCTCATCGTCCTTCTGCTGGTGTGATGTTACTCTCAAGAACTGTTAATCGACGTCAAGAACTTATCTCTTATTCTCAACGTCGTAAAATTTCTAGTTCAGACTCATAAAAAGTCTGAAGAGTCAATTAAGAACAGCGTGGACCTTACAAGATGTCAGGGAAAAGAAAGTCAAATGGAAACGTTACAGTGATATCGAAGAAAAACACCGTCCACAACGTTACAATACTGATTGGACTGCAATTTGAAAAAATGTACACCTATAAATCCGCACTGTCTGCCTGCTATCTGTCCTTAATTTTAGAATGTCGAGATCAGATATTAAAGCTTAGGTGAGGAGGCCCCGATTAACGTCACGTTATTTCAATTGAAAACAAATTTTCCTCTTAAAGCAGTTAATAGATGACCAGCACGACTCTATTGTCAAAGTAAAAGTAGGATGTACAGGGGTAAGACATTACAAATAATTTGAAGTGGAGAGCATATATTTTAATAAAATAAATGAAAAATATGATTAAATATTGCAGCCCGGCATGGTGACGATTTCACAATAAATATTTGCTCATTGAATTACTGTATATTTATTTAATTATCGTAACAAGTTGAAAAAATATATTTAAATTTACATTAACACAATTAACTATTGATACTTACTAAACATTCTGAACAAATCAAATTTATCTTCCGTTTCAGTATCATTGACAATATCTAAATCGATTGAATAACAATTCCTCAATTTATATAATTCATTTGCGTAAATAATGTGTTTTGTGAAATTCCTAAAATGAATTTTTTTAATAAAAACTGTCAAAAAACTATTTATAGTAAAATAAAGATAAATTATTTACGGGAGAAAGTAGAAAATATGTTCTGCTTTCACACCATACTTTTCAATATTTGAACGATTGCGATCTGCTTCGAAATACACCTCTGGAAGAGGAAACTGTTGGAAAAAAATATAGAAAAATTTTTATATTTTAATTAAAAGTATTATTCTATAAATCAATAGTATTTTGTAAATAATCTAATAGTAGTTTGCCTACTTGTCAATAAGTAATAACAGATTTATATTTTAATACTACATAGAACGACGTCGTAAAAAGCACATCACAATTTTGATAAACACATAAAATTTTACTTTATATGAGTATAATTGTATTAATTTTAATGTTATAGCCACGTTTTTTATATAAATCTTTCTTTATACACAGTATTTATAGTCTGACATACGGAGATAAGACATTAACTTACCGTCTCAATGGATCCGAATTGAGACAGAATATTAATTTGAATTTATCCTTACAGTTAAAATATAAATAACAAGTAATTTTTGTTTGTTATGTTTTAATTTTGTTACTTATAACAGATCAATAAAGCATTGTTTGACTGGCAGCTTGATGCGCTTCCAGATAAGAGTTATTGTAGTGGGATTATTGTAGTGTTTACTATTAGAGACTATTGTGAATATCATATATAAAATTATAAAAGTTTTTGTCGACTTTAAGATAATTATGTTTATTTGGAAAAAAAGCTATAGATTAAACATTGTTCTTTATACATACCATTAAGTCTTCATCCGATAGATTCTCTTTATTACAATAATAACTGTGTTTTGCACAAAATTTATCGACATTTTTCGGTTTTTCACACGAATCTGGAAAATCTCGACAAAAGGCTTTACGACGAATACTATTAATTAAAAAAACATTCTTACAATTGTTAATAAAATAAACATATACAGTAATATAAAATAAAATACGGATTTATATCACTCACCCATTCATGTCACAGACAGTGATTATCGGTTTAGGTAGCTCCTCTTCTGGTTTAAATTTCACTAATACTTCCAAAGTTGTTGGATAAGTATAGTATAGCTTTATAAATTGACTTATTTGAAAGAAAAATCCGAATAAACATGCAAAAAAGACAAATAGTTTAAACAATTTTCTTTTTAAATTACGTTCTGTAACAATCTGAGGGATTCCGGCCATCATAACATTTTTCATTACTTTTACGAAGTACAATTGCTTCGGTTTAGTATTTTTTTGACAAATACAATTCACTTTTCTTTCCATGTCGTAATAATTAATGTATATAATTAAAAATAGTGTGAAAATCAATGAGCATTATGGAAGGAAATTTCAAGCATATTATTATTATTAATAGAAGTAAGTATGTTGTGTTAATGGTATAGTTAATAAGTGATATAAGGAATGTAAAGTACGGGGTGCATCGGTTTTATTAAGTTACATTGATCTTACTAAAATCAATTAATTTTAATAAAAGTGAGCGCTTATACAAATAAGTAGTGTTTGTACAGACAAATAAGATGAAAAACAGGCATCACGCACAATTAGAGTAGATTTTTTTGGCCTAAAAATGCTTAAAAAATACTAAACTTTTAAAATAAATTATAAAGGGAAATGATATTTTAACTATATAATTAACACTTATGTGACTTTGTAAAAAGGACTAGCAATTACTGCGTGACAGTAGGGTGCAGTATGTGCAATGGGAGTACGAAAATGTGTAATATTAATAACAGCAAGCGATAAGTTTGTAGCGATGTGGCTCTGGCATTTATGCATTAGGTCTTTAGCTTATTTCAGGGGCTTTCACCAACGAAATAACGACACGGTGAGTACGAAAGACACAAAGTAAATTACGACATCGTCAAATCAGCCGAACCACTTACGGAGACACTGTGTTATCGCATTATATAATCCGTACCTAGCTAAAATCGGAGAGCGAAAGATTTATTGAGAATCTAATTTAATTATTTAACAATTTATTTAATTAGGAGAATGAATTATAAAATAGACTTCACTTTCGAAATTAAAAGAACAGGGAAATACAGCTTCTTTTCTGTTTAAAAAGATAAGGATACTTTCCATGAAATCAGTCGTATCACGTGTTTACGATACATTTGACAGTTCGAGTCACCCTTAAAATCCCATCACATGGATAACATTTTAACTTTCGATTGGAGGAGATTTGGAGATAAAAAGGATAAGTATCCCGTTCTCGGGTCTCTCTCTTCTCGAAAGTCTCTCCTTGAAATTCCCTTCGGCTGCTCCGCCCTCATCACTCCTCTCCTCCGAACTCATCAATCAGAGAAGTTCCTCGCTCCCTGTTCTTCATAGAAATGAAACTTCATTGAAAGGCATCCCACTATTAATAAGAGGTATTATGCACTACTTTTTCTAAACTCTCTCTCTCTCTCTCTCTCTCGGTCAAATAGAGGTGTAATTCGAGTTTATCGATGAGATTGTGTTGTAGTTTACAGGTTAAAATTAAACGTTTTTGCCTTTTTATTTTTTAAATAGAATCACATAAGAGATGGCGCCACATACTAACTTTCGGCTCGTGTTTCTTAAACAGAGAAAGTTGCCATAACAACAAAATTACTCCTCTTAAGTTTCTCGGACTCTCTTCCTGTACCCTTAACCTCTTGTTCGAGGGACGAGAAGATCAGCAAGAGCCTTGGCAGCTTTTTTCTAATTTACACTAAATTTAATTCAACGTACCAAATGTTTGTTATTTTAACAGATAAAATGAAACAGATATTAGAATAAATGTGAAAAAAACGAGATAAATTATCATGTTTATTCCGTTTAAATGCATCCGTTCGACTTACTGTCTGATTGATAATCGTACCGTGTGTATTAAATAAGATTTGGGATTCAGCCAATAGTTCGGTGTAAGACTTATAAGTGATTTAATTGGCGTTGATTTGTTATAAAGTGATATGGCTAATTAAGTACTCTATTACTAAATGGCACTACAGAGTCAAACCTATCAAAAGCCATGGCAAAACGATAAAATTTTACGGCATATATCAGTAAAACCTACTTCCTGCAGTATAAAATATCTAATGAAAAAGTGTTTAGTGTATTTAAGTCATTCTGCACCCTTGGCACTTAGCCTTATGTTTTTTTTTTACTGCATTCTGGTTTAAAAACAAGTAAAGTTAGAATGCCACACTTATTTATCAGAGGTAAAGAGGAGTTTAAAAAAAGTCATTAACAATTAAACAATTAACAATTTATTATTAAAATGACAAGTAAAATGGGCAAAGGAATTTTATGGTTTTAACTTTCAATAATCTGTAATCTACAAGTTGGCTGAAGAGGAACAAGGAATGCCCGAAACGTGTACAAATGAGACGAACACGCATCAACTGAATAAAATTTAACGATGATTTGCCAAGTGTCTGAATAAATACAATAAATAATTTGTGTTTGAATTACTATTTATTTATCAATTATAATTAAAATGACTATTATGGCTAACAAAATAACGACCCGTATGCAATGATAATCACATATTTTTAACAACTCCTTTCAGTCACTTTGTGCCATGCGTACTTTACGTCATCCGACTGCTCTTCGTCAACTATATTAACGCTATTTAACACAGAAATATTTTTACTAAACGTTGAGCTCTGTTTACATAAAGTAGCAAAGACAGGTAAGTGTAATATTTCACTTATTTTGAATATAATTTAATTACTTTTATATTGAAACGAAAGATAATATTTTAAAACCATTTCTTAACTTGTTACCTTTTAGAAGAAAAAAATGGATGAGGATAATAAAACGAAGCATATTAAAAGACCGAATGCTCATCAGAGGCACGCATACTTAGAAAATTTATTAAAAAATACAGTTATGACGGGACTCCCTCAAATCGCTACGGAACATAATTTGAAAAGGAAAGTGTTCAAGATATTGGTCTTCTTTGCCTGTTTATTTGGATTCTTCTACCAGCTAACCGAATTTCTAATGTTATATTTTACTTATCCAACAAGTTTGGAGGTATTAGTAAAAATTACAGGGAAAGATTATCTTCCAAAGCCTGTAATCACTACGTGCGACGTAAATGGGTGAGTGATGCGTTTTAATAATAATAATGACAATTCCCTGTTATTTTAATAAATAAAAATATAGGCCTACGTAGAATTATTGATAAGGACAGAAATAAACTTATTTATCTTATAATTTTTGCAAGTATAGAATACGACGTACTGTCTTCTGTAAAGATTTCCCTAATCTCTGCGAAAAACCAAAAAATGTCAGTCTGTTTTGTATTAAAAACAGTCAATTTTGTGATAAAGAAAACTTCACCGATGACGATTTGATGGTAAGTTTGGCAATAAATTAAATGTATACTTATAAATGACTGTTTTGAGGTTACTTTTTCTTAAAAATNGTGGGTGATGATAACTTCAAGAACTTCATAATAGAACCTAGAGCACATCTCCACTGTGAGTTGCTAAATACGTGCTGAAACAGAATTCATCCCCTTTTTTCTTTGCAAGATATTACAAATTTATTGATTCTGATTTTCACCATAAGTGAAACAAGTTAATATTAAGTACTGTATAACAGAGACATAATAGAGAGATTTTAAATTTTACTAGATTAATATAGAATTTCACTCAACATACAGCAGAAATTATTCTTTGAATATTTCGTTAAAATTTACCAATAATTATTATAAATGAAGATTACTTACTTGAAGCTCAAATGTAAATAAAAAAGATTGTATTATAACGTTGAAAACAATAAAAATTTACACAGACATAGAATAGGAGCGTATTTTCCTGACGTCTTACTCGTTTCATTTAGCCAATTAATGAAGAAATAAAATTTACGACAGTTTTATTTCTGTTACTACACTTAATTACAACAATAAAAGATAATTGTAATAGATGTCTAACTGTGCGAGTTCGCAAATTGTATGTTACGTAGTAAATTATGACGCCATATTATCATAATGCGTATTCTGTAATTTACTACGTTTTAACTAAAAGAATTGCAAAAATTATACAAGAAATATGAATTACTTTAAATTCTATTTAAAAAAAGTTAACAAGATAACAATAACGTATTTGTTGATATGTTGTTGAGATTATATATATGGTATTTTGTTAGTTATAGNATAATTTTTGCAAGTATAGAATACGACGTACTGCCTTCTGTAAAGATTTCCCTAATCTCTGCGAAAAACCAAAAAATGTCAGCCTGTTTTGTATTAAAAACAGTCAATTTTGTGATAAAGAAAATTTCACCGATGACGACTTGATGGTAAGTTTGGCAGTAAATTGAATTCATACTTATAAATGACTGTTTTAAGGTTACTTTTTCTTAAAAATTATATCAATTGTAATTGAAAAACATATATACAAGCTTCTAATAAAAATCTAACATTTGGTTTTTAACGAGAGACCGTCGCAGCGTGTCTAAGCTCTATGAAATTTAAATAGAAAAATTAATTTTCTAGTTATTTTATCTAAATGATTTATTTTTAAATAAATAAATAATAACATTCACCTAATTATTTTAGACTAATTCTAATATCCGTTTATCGAAATGCGTGTCCCTCCCTTTTAATTTATTAATTAGTATACCACATGCTTTTATTGATCAAACATTTTTCATTAAGTTTTTTATGACGTGCCCATGTTTGGGGAATTCGCGACTATTTTATTATAAATAATCTTTTGTAGAAAAAAACAATCAATTACAAGCATTAAAGCTTACAGATACCAAATGCATGTGAATACACGCATTTTATATCTGTATTAAATTTGCAATTATATAATACTTACTAAGATTTCTCAAACGGGATGACAGTTGTTTTTTTAACCCGGGAAATCCCGCAAATTTCTTAAAAATTCACTTTTTTCTTATTTTGTGTTAAGGTTGAGGAAATTTTAAGACTTGTCATTACTAAAATAAGAATTAGATTGAGTGATCGAAAATCTTATAAAAATTTACAATATTTTTTATTATATTTTATTTAAAAAACGAAAAATAATTATCAATATATCATTTGATTTCATGATATTTTCTATATCTTAAAAATAATTAATTTTGTCCCGGAATTTCCCGGGGATCCCGGGAAACAGTTCACTTTTATCCCGGAATCCCGAGACAAGCAAAAGACCGGAAAATGAGAAACCTAATACTAACCATACAAATAATTTAAGATCATTTTTAAGTCTTCATCATTTTTAACATTCGAACCACATACATATGGTTCACAACACGAAGATACAAACAGAGTACAATGCATAGTGTATTTGTGTTTTTTTATATCATATCGTCGCTTTTTAACGAAGAACTGTTTGTATTTTCATGTTGTGTACTATTTGGAATCTTAACAAGGGTGAAGACTTCAAACTGACCAAAATTATTTGTGTGGTGATTATTATCTGAAAGTAAATTAATCCTTGGCACTTTTTAATTGATGTAAATAAAATTGCAAGTTTTGTGATTAAAATTTAAAAATAACTTTTATAGTTTCCACTTCCTCTTGTGTATTTGGACATCGATTTCAATCGTTCAATTATTGAAGATTATGGAACTATGGCAGAAGATATTTTATATATTTATAAGTAAATATTATATTTTAATATTTTTTAAATAAATGTGTTAATTATTAAATAAATGATCAGTAAACTCATTTTTAATTGCAATTGTTTGGCCACATTTAGAAATTTTACAAAACGTATTTTTTATGCGAACGAATTATGGAAAATAAGAAGTTGTTATTCGATCGACTTAGATCTTATCGATCCGAACATAACTGAAAACAATTTTCCTTTATTAAAAATGTACTGTAAGTATATTTTAAATATATTTTCTTACTTATTCTAATGTTTTATTGAAATTATAAGATTTATTTTATAATTTTTATGCAATTAATTTGTGAAAATATAGATGAAACTTAAGATTTCAATTGTTTGATGCTCCGTGCAGTTGCGGAATATAGCACTTCTAATAATTAATTCTGCTTAATTTAAAGAAATAAAGTTATCAGTTAATACTACAGTATATATTAATACATATATTATTAGTTTATTTGTTATAAAAGTGGAATGCTGAAATTATTAAATAAACAAAATCAAAATTAAAACTGAAATTCATCGTTTCTTTAATAGCAAATACGAAAACAGCCGGTGATGTTGTTATAACGTTTAATTCGAAAGAATTATTTCGACCAACAGTTCCAATTGGTGCTAAAGTATCAGTTCACTCGAAGGATGAGATAATAAATCCTTTCATCGATGGTTTTCTTGTTAAGCCAGGAAATCGTTACATCGTCCAATTGAAAGTGGTATGAGAGGTTTTTCTATGTTTTTTATAAATATTCAATTAATATGTATTTAAACTTTAATTAAATTTAAATAAAATCCAGATAGAAGAAAATCTACTTACAAATCCTTACAGTACAAATTGTTCTTATTACGAGCGATCTAAAGAAAAATCTTTTGATGAATTATATACACGTCAGGTAAATATTTAATATTATATAGATAGTTTATAAACATTAATATTATTTAATATAGACTTATGTATACAAAATATTAATCGGCAATTGATTGATCACTTTTATATTTTTGTACAATGCCACAAAATTTAAGCTGACAAGTTAAAATATATATCTTGTTTGTAGTAATTACAAAACATCGCAAAATATATACTTCTACAGTTTGTTACAAACATTTTTCAAATAATAAACTCTATACAACACTAGGATATATTATTTGAACAGAAGTTAAAATACCAGGAGCTTTTCAGGTTCTGCAAATTAAAAATATGTTATCAATATTTTACAATCATAACTAATTACATCTATTGATTTTTTACAGAGGAAATGTCATACATGATTTTGGTAACTAAATTACTAAATTTCCCGTACATTGTGATGACCAGGGTCGGATCTACATAGGAACTAATAGGACTTAGGCCCTGGCTCTCAAGTGTTAAGGGCTCAGAAAAATTGAATTATTATCATAAATTTTTAATACTTTTCATTAACAATGAGCACTTATCGTATAGTAAAAAATAGTTAATAGGTTAAGTTAGGTTTAGTAAAACTGATAAGAATGTTGCCCCATTGACTTCAATAAGCCGTAGGCCCCGAGAAACCTATATCCACCCCCGATGATGACGTACAAAAGGCAACCAATAGACGAGCGAATGACAATGAAAATGACTTTTAGTGTCATTTCTAATTGTATGGGTATTTGTGTTCCCGAGTGATTCCATTAGGCCATATTGTTAGGATTGAAAAAGCTATTCATCATGAGGTGAAATACTTCACACTGCATGTGCGAGCATTGTTATTCGGCTAAATTGTATTAAAAATTTTATTTTCCTGCCGAATTTTACTGTTGGAAATTCGTTTCTATAATATTTAGATAACTTGTTATATTAATTAACTATTAATACTAAGTAAACCTTTAGAAATTTTTCATTATTTTTTATTCTCAAAATAACTTGTGCGAGAAATTATATTTTATCGTTAGTAATCATTAATTTTTATTAATTTATTTACTCTATGGTCAATTTATATTTATATTTAATATTAATTATTTGTAACCTTTATAATAACACCATAAATTTATAATTTATTATATTTACTTATAGCGCTGCATACTCAATTGTCAGAAGGAGAAATGGTTGGAAAGTTGTGGGTGCATCTCGGGAGATTATCCTTTCGAAACGGATGGGACATTTTGTTCAGAACGTAATTAAAAATTTTTAAGTTGCTAAATTTGGAAAAATTCATTATTTATATTTATTTTGATGTTTAAAATGTTTCATGCAGAGATCAAAAACACGTATGATAATAATGCAATTTCTCACTAGACACATAGCATTAAAACCTATAAATTACGTAAAGAAATAACTCAAATAAAAAAAATACATATGTATACAAAGCACAAAAAACTTACACGAATGATACCTGGATCCGTCAGACCCAAATTGTCTGCTAGCTACGACAGAGTAAAGGGCTCGTAAAGTTTGATAATCCTTGATTATAATGTTCACCTAGGTGCTGGTCGTTTTCATTACTTTTTTTTTTTTTAGCGAAATCGATGCTTTATTTGGTATTTTTTACATAAATCACACCACCCCCACAATTGTTGACCCTTCGCGTGATATTCGTCTCCGAAGATCGTATCAGTCTACCCACTATCCTCCATGCTTCGCATGTAAACGTGCGCCTCGGTGCTCGCTATCGCTCGCACCTCAGTGTCCGAGTGGAGGCGAGCCCCACACCCCCTAAAACAATATAACATCAACTACACATCAAAAACACGAACAGTCAAGTACGTTTAAATCAATTAACATTAAATACAATATATATAATTTTATTTAAAAGATATATTTTGTAAATAATACTTATTTAATAAAAAGTATTACTTATAATTACATTTAAAAAGCAAATATTATATTTTTAGGGGCATATATGTGCTTACATAGTATAAATACCGATCATTGCCACGATAAATGCCAAGTTGCATGCCAGTGAGTAAAAATTTTACTGTTAGAGAATAAACATAAAATGTAACAGTAACTTAAATTTTTGAAAATAATTTTCTAAATATTGTTTGTTTACATTTAACATGTATTTAGTTATTTTGCTTCAAAATATAAAATAATATCTCACATATACGTTACACCGAAATTCTACTGCTCGAAATGAAACAAAATTTGAACTACAGATAATTGAAATGATGTGCTGAGAGATTTTGTAATCCCAGAACTTCAATATGGATGCCTTCGGGGCATCATTTTCATACAGGATGGTACACCTCCCCACATTGCTCGTCCTGTTACTATTTCACAGATGCACGGGTAATCAGCCGTATTTTTCCTTCAGCATGGCTTTCTCGCTCGCCGGATATCACCCCGTACAACTTTTGGTTATGTTGTTTCCTGAAAGACAACATCTACCGTAGAGAACCTGCATCCTTGCCTAATCTGGAGAACAATATTCAGCGCCATGTTCTGGATATTTCGGCAGACTCACTGAGTTCAGCTGTGGAAAATATGGTTTTGCAATTGTGCTGGGGCATCGAGAGATGCTGCAGCACAATTGCAAAACGGGCTCGAAAAGGAGAAATTTACAGGGTCTCAAGTAAATAAATTATTTGAGATACCATTCTTTAGGATTTTCAATTTATGTTACTTTTTACAAAGTTGAGAATAATAGTTAGTATTAAGCATTTTATATTTCAATAGCGAGTAAACAAACAAAAAAAAAAAATAGTGGTATGATGTAAAGCAATCCATCGCTACTGAGTATAGCATCGGACATGCCACTAATTGTATCGAAAATGAAAGAGAATTAACTACGACATCACCGCCATCCAAATGGACAGTGAGTTGGGATAACGAAAAATTATGCGAAAGGGTGAGAACGACAAACTTGATTTGGCAGTTTAAAAATGGTTCGTATAGCAAGCAACGCATTAAAAGCGTAATTGTCAGTGGCCCGATAATCAAAGAAAAAGCAGTGGTGTTTAACAAAGAACTTAGCGGCGATAAAATGTTTACAACAAGAGAGTGTTGGATATCAAACTGGCGTGATGCGAGTTTAAAAAGAAGATAAAGAATATGATAAAAAAAAGAAGAACTGACACCTGCTGCAATGTACAATGCTGATAAGACTGGTTTGTTTTTCAAATGCTCCCTTCAAAAACCCTTGCTGCCGACAACGAAAAGGAAACTCGCGGATATAAACAATGAAAAGTAAAGCGTCACACCGATGGCGTATTGTAATGCTTATGGGGTGATAAACTTCCCCTTCTGATGATTGGAAAAGCCAACTACCACACTAGTTTCAGTACAGCGCGCCGAGCGCACTACCGGTAGATTAGCGTACTCAAAAGAAACTGTGGATGGACTCGAAAACTTTTTCTCTGTGGTCTCATGATAAATTCGTATCAATTGTATAGGGAGAAGTTAAAAAAAGAAACTTATATCAAAAGCCATTCTTCAAATTCACAACGCTTCTAGCCATCCCTGACTTGTCTCTGAAATCAAATGATATACAAGCTCTTTTTATCCCACCAAATGTGACAACTCTAATCCAACCTATGGATCAGGGAATTTTGGAATCAATTAAACGTCTCTATCCACATTCATTTAATAAGAAGGTAAGAAATATATGTAAAAACTATTCTATTGAAACTAGGAAAAGCGATCAACATGAGTCGTGTTGTTTTTTCAAACAGCACAAGCATGGGACATTGCAGAGTGAAGTATTGGAAAAAGCATGTCCTTCGATTGACACTGAGTTGGGGTCGCATCGAGTGATACTGAGTCAGTCAATTCAGAATCATTTCCGGATGTCGTGTTCGTTGTTATGTTCCGCAAGCTTGTAGTAGGAAAAGTTGATGAAGAGCTCATTACTAACTGGTTAATGAGAAATATTACCGAATAAACCAAGCATTAACAGTAGAAGTCACCAAACGTATTCAGTATAAAAGTGATGAGGAAGAGAACACCACAGAGGCAGAGAAAACGAAGATTGCTCACACTGCTCCTGCCGACGCTGCCGACATTTCCTTGCAGTATAAAATGCAAGAACCAGACACACGCAGTACCGGTGTAAAAGCGTGTCATCGACGAACAACTTCATTTAAACAAGTAAAAATCCGTGACATTTTTCGAAGTGACTACGCTGAGTAGAAGATATAAAATTAAAATTGTGCCGAATACATTTTAATTTCTTTTACTCTATACAAATACTTCTCTCTTATTTCTTTTTTAAATACATGTATATTACAGACAGTAAACATGGAACATTAAATTTACTAAACAATTAAATTGACGTCTTTTATCTCTCAGTAATCCGACATTTTCACTTATTCGACATTCATCCGTTCAAGGAATGACCAAATGAATGGCAGAATTAGCAAAGACTCCACTATGTTTTTATCATGAGAATATACAATAAAACACGCGTAAATTGGAATGGCACGATAATGAATATTTTTCCGGTTTAGCAAGTGTCCGTTTCATTCACGTTCTGCTTTGGACAGGATTCACTGTGTTGTTTTATATTTTACACAACTAAATTACATGTATATCAGAAATATTTTTGAAATTTGTATGTAATGTATCTGTATGATGTATACACTGTAATGATTAAAATATGCCAAATTTCAGAGCCACTGTTTTTGAATATGAAGTAGACGATACTCCGATCGAATTTTACGACGTAAGTCTAAGAATGAATATTTTTTTTTGCATAATTTGTTCGGATTATTTCACAAACGCCAATTTTTTTGTGATTGTTCCAGTTTTATGTTCCTTTGGAAACTACCGATGAAGATACGAATGAAGAGTATAGGTATAATATATCATCAATATATAAATATATATATGCGCAAATTTTATATATTAAGTTTTGTTTCTCGTTTAACAGAAAACAAAAGCAAGTAGCAGTAATGAATTTCTTTTTTAAATGGCCGGAACTATTTATATATAAATACAAACCAAAATTTCAGGTAATAAAATGTGGTTATTTATGTAATAAAAATTATATACATAGTGTACATATACAGAGTAATTCAAAAATCACTCACAAATTTAAAAATTTCACTCCTAAACAGTTTTCAAATAAATACTCAGAACGATATTGCAAACAATTTATATTAAATTTAGTTATAATTACTATCAGCAGCTGGTGATCGTAACATTATCGCACTTTTGACCGGGTCGCGTAGCCCGGAAACTTAGGCCTTATAACAAACCACTACTTGCAGTATATGGTGATAAAAAGAGGAATATACAGAGATAGAAGTGAGCTGCAAATGAATTACATAACCCATTTGCATAAGAATACCTAGTGCCAGAGGTTGCAATTAAAATTCGCGTCATATGTTAGGCATTGAATTTTTTGAAATACTGTACATTCTGTAAAAGCTGAATTTGTTAAACTATTGTTGGGATAAGGCAACGTAACACAAGGGTGATATGTCAAAGGGAGATGCCTCCCGAGAGGACATTTTATGAGAAACTTGGCATCTATTCAAGTGTTGGACACGTGAAAAAAATCCAAAAAATTACACCGTCAGTTCGTTTGTCAGACAGGTTCTTGGTTGTATAGTAATTACAAGCCGGTTCGTGTGTGACAAATGGACTGGTCACGTGGTTTTAGTAGCTACGTCTGACCACTTATTTATTGAGCCACTGGTGGGTATGAATTTCGGGTTATTCCATACAGTATTTTACTTTGCAGTTTTCATAAATTGTGGTTTATAAGTTATATCAGATTTTATGAATTTTCTTCACGCTTAGCCCATTAACGCTTCACATAAAAAGATTTGGAAATTTTTATAATAATGTTTTAATGTATAATAAATTAAAGCTAATAATTGTTAATATAGAATGAAAAAAAAATAATCACATATTTCTATTAAAATTTATTTTATAATTACTTATTAAATGTCAATAAAATGATTAAGTATTAATAACTGTTATATTTTTCAGTCAATAGAATTATTCAGTTACATCGGTGGATACATTGGAATGTGGCTTGGAATATCATTGATTGCCATTTGCGATTTGTTAGAAGTGATCGCTGTTTATATTTATCATATAATTACCAGAGATATTCCTAATATAGAAAATTATTAAAGGTACTATTACTAAATTTAAGAAAGACTACACTTTATATACGGAAATTTAATAACTGGTGCTTAAATAATACTGGTGCTGGTAATAAAATTGCCGAAGTTTTAAATTGCTTAAATTTTATCTGTAAATTAATACAGATAAAATTTATCTGTAAATTAATACAGATAAAATTTAAGCAATTTAAAACTTCGGCAATAGCAAAATACTGCAATACAACAGGATGCGAAATAGATTTAAGTTTTATAAATGTTTAAACCATCTTTTTAAATCGGTAACATATATTTATTGTTATTGTATACAGGTTTGGAAATATGATACGAGTTATTCTGTTAATATTTTTAAATTTCGATGTACTTAACCATCAAAAAACTAAGTTATTTTATTTGTTTTTATTCTCTGGGAAAAAATTATAACATTGTAGTAACGACAGAGCAAGCAATTTTCTTTGTTTTCACAATAATTGCATAAAAATGTCTTCAGGACCGACTAAATAAACGAAAACTTTTCAAACTTGGCAGGATTTATTTTCTATACAATAGGCCGTGATGGTTATAAGTGAACGGTGGGGTGACAGAAGAGATTTAGTGTTATAGGCTTTTATATAATAATTATTTTTTTTAAATACAATCACATAACATATGGTGCTACACACTAACTTTGAGCTCGCGTTTCTTAAATTAAAATATATTTTTTTAAACAGAGAAAGTTACCATAATTTAACAATATTACTCCTCTTAAATTTTTAGTATTGTTTAAATTTTAAGTCGTAATACAATTAAACTTTATCGGACTTTCTTCCCGGTACCCTTAATCTCTTGTTCGAAAGCCGGGATGATCAGCAAGAGCCTTGGCTGTTTTTTTCTAATTTACACTAAATTTAATTCAACGAACAAACTTTTTTTTTTATTAAACAGCGAGTATTTTAATAGATAAAATAAAACAGATATTAAAATAAATCTTAAAAACGAGATCTTGTTTATTTATTCAGTTTAACCTTGCCTTGACGCATTTGTTTCACTTACTGTCTGATAACCATACTGTGTGTATTTAAGTCATTCTGCACCTTTGACACTTAACCTTGTGTTTTTTACTGTATTCTGGTTTAAAAACAAGTAAAGTTACAATGCCACTCTTTTATTTATCAGAGGTAAAAGAGCGTTTAAAAGAAGTCATTTACAATTAAAATATTCTGTATGAAAAAGCTACTTAGCTATACAAATAATAACATACTAACAATAATAAAATGTGTTAAATTAAATAAGATTTTTCAAGAAATGGATTGGGTATAGTTTACCTACAGCCAAATGAAGGTTACTGGGGAATTTCATTACACTACAACGGATCGCAACTTGACACACTAGAAGCAGGAAGAATTTATTAACTTTATTTTTGGACAAAAATTACGTCTTATAGGCCATAAAATACGATAATTAGTTAATTATTTCATCTCTTTTATATTAGACACAAAAGTAAAGAATAAATCGTCCAGTTCCGTGCATATGACTTCTCTATAAATAATCTCACTGATAATGACGACTAACCTGCCCATACAAGGTGTGTATACAGTTTCCTTATTTCGATACAAATGACTGATTGATTGAAAAAGTTCCACCTTACCCTCATCCAATACTCTTCAGTCCCATCTTATCGTACCCTGTTGATTTTGTAAAGTTATTTTTACTTTAATATTAAAGAATTATTCAAAGGTAAAGTTAGTGTACTTTTATGTTAATTTGCAATAAATTTCTTTTTCAAATAAATAACAGTGGAATGAAAATAGTATTTTTGCAAATTTTTTCTTCAAACTACCTCGTATTAGCAAGTGTTCACTATATTATTAAAATTAAATGTATTCTTTCGTTGTAATAATGACACGAACGAGTCAATATCGATCATATATCTAATAATATAAGCTATTGATCACGTGTTGATCACGTGACAAGTGTCTGTAACGGTGTGATTACAACGTCCATTAGAGGCACCCTAGCGATTAAAATAGTACAGTAGAAGTTGATTTGTTCATGATAAGCCTTAATCCTTTCCCTCTCCCCCGTGCTGAGGAAATTCGAAAAATTCCTTCTTAGTATATATTCTCATGATGTATTGTACCCCAACTATGTACCAAATATCAACTTTCAACTCCTAATCGTTTGGCACTGCGCTTATTATTATTATTATTATCATTATCATCAACCCATCTCGATTATATTATAAGATTTGTAATAGGAATTTATTATTTATATCACGGAATGACACCACTGCTGCTAGAACGCCCACAAGGGAGCGGTCGGGGCAACTAATAATATAATAAAATGATAAATGAATAAAACTAATTTTATAGGTCGTATTATAAGTTTACTACGTGTTTAAATATATAAAATTAAAACAAATATCTTAAATATTTATAAATTAATTCCTCAACATTTAAATCTTTAACTTTTCTTCGTTGCTATAATTTGTAATAATGAACATACAAATATTGTTTTTAGTTGTAGGGTAGGCATAAAGTATTAATAATTGCCCAACGTGATGATAGGCCAAATGGTATCTGCACAGGGGGCAAATGGGACATTTGCCCCTTCCTGGAATCAAGTAAAAATTTCACAAATTATAATTATAGAAGTGATTCAGATATATAACCTTCTATCCTAGAACCTGAGACTTTTTAATGCAATATTGTAGTGTTATTTTATAACCTACTTAACTAAATAATTAAATAAAAATTTATTGTTGTAAATAGTTGTCTCCAAGCTTTTCCTTCCTGGAAAATATTTCGGTGAATGCCCATGAATAGACCTGTTAGTAAAAAGGTAAAAGTAAAGATGATATACAGAATTTTATAAAATTTACACACGAAAATTTGTCTTTCATAAATTTATTATAAATAAAACTTAAAAACGAGTTATTAAATTCCTTAACAATGTTTGATAAAGTTGTAAAAGAGGTCTAGAAATTGAATCATAAATATCATCATTAACAAGACATTTTTAAAGTTTAGCCTATGTATGATTTAAATGAAAACCTCAGGTTATTGTAAACTTTATAAACGAGTAAAAATTTAATTAAAATTTATTTATCAATTATAATTAAAATGACAATTGTGGCTAACAAAATAACGACCCGTATGCAATGATAATCACATATTTTTAACAACTCCTTTCAGTGACTTTGTGTCATGCGTACTTTACGTCATTTGTCTGCTCTTCATCAACTATATTAAAGCTATTTAACACAGAAATATTTTTACTAAACGTTGAGCTCTGTTTACAAAAAGTAGCATTTTTGATAAACTCTTCGTTAAAGACAGGTAAGTGTAATATTTCACTTATTTTGAATATAATTTGATTAGTTTTATATTGAAACGAAAGATAACATTTTAAAACCATTTCTTAATTTGTTACCTTTTAGAAGAAAAAAAAATGGATGAGGATAATAAAACGAAGCATATTAAAAGACCGAATGCTCATCAGAGGCACGCATATTTAGAAAATTTATTAAAAAATACAGTTATGACGGGACTCCCTCAAATCGCTACGGAACATAATTTGAAAAGGAAAGTGTTCAAGATATTGGTCTTCTTCGCCTGTTTATTTGGGTTCTTCTACCAGCTAACCGAATTTCTGATGTTATATTTTACTTATCCAACAAGTTTGGAAGTATTAGTAAAAATTACAACGGAAGATTATCTTCCAAAGCCTGTAATCACTATGTGCGACTTGAATGGGTGAGTGATGCGTTTTAATAATAATAATGACAATTCTCTGTTATTTTAATAAGTAAAAATATACGTAGAATTATTGATAAAGACAGAAATAAACTAATTTATCTTATAATTTTTGCAATTATAGCATACGACGCACTGTCTTCTGTAAAGATTTCCCTAATCTCTGCGAAAAACCAAAAAATGTCAGTCTGTTTTGTATTAAAAACAGTCAATTTTGTGATAAAGAAAACTTCACCGATGACGACTTGATGGTAAGTTTGGTAGTAAATTGAATTTATACTTATAAATAACTGTTTTGAGGTTACTTTTTCTTAAAAATGATATCAATTGTAATTGAAAAACATATATATACAAGCTTCTAATAAAAATCTAACATTTGGTTTTTAACGAGCGACCGTCGCAGCGTGTCTAAACGCTGTGAAGGTTAAATAGAAAAATTAATTTTCTAGTTATTTTATCTAAATTATGTTTTTTTTAAATAAATAAATAATAACATTCTTCAATTATTTTAGACTAATTCTAATATGCATTTATCGAAATTCGTGTTCCTCCTTTTTAATTTAATAATTAGTATGCCACATGCTTTTATTGATCAAACAGTTTACATTAAATTTTTTATGATGTGCCCATGTTTGGGGAATTCGCGACTGTTTTATTATAAATAATCTTTCCTAGAAAAAACAATTAATTATAACCATTAAAGCTTTAAATGGAAAAAAATAAATAAATATGTTCTATTTGTATGATTATTTTATCTCACTTTTACAATCTTATGATGTTTTAACTTACTAAGTAATTATTATGGTACGACGAGTTTAAAATTTCATAATTCAAAAAGTTTTAAATTATTAAAGGAAAAGAAATATATAAGTAAGGATAACTCCAATAAATATATATAAATATATATTTCTGTAGAGTAATTTTTCCAGAAGATTAAAAAAACCAAGAGTATAAAATACATGCATTTGGTATCTGTATTAAATTTGCAATTAAATAATACCATACAAATAATTTAGGATCAGTTTTAAGTCTTCATCATTTTTTAAGATTCCATGAAGATACAAACAGCGTCAAATGCATAGTGTATTTGTGTTTTCTTTTTTTTTTTTAATATCATATCGTCGCTTTTTAACGAAGAACTGTTTGTATTTTCATGTTGTGAACTATTTGGAATCTTAACAAGGGTAAAGACTTCAAACTGACCAAAATTATTTGTGTGGTGATTATTATCTGAAAGTAAATTAATCTTTGACACTTTTTAATTTATGTAAATAAAATTGCAAGTTTTGTGATTAAAATTTAAAAACAATTTTTTATAGTTTCCAACTTCTTTTGTGTATTTTGGAATCGATTACAATCGTTCAATTGTTGAAGATTATGGAACTATGGCAGAAGATCTTTTATATATTTATAAGTAAATATTATATTTTAATATTTTTTAAATAAATTATCTTTAAACTTATTTCTAATTGCAATTGTCGGGCCACCTTTAGAAATTTTACTAGACGTGTTTTTTACGCGAATGAATTATGGAAAATAAGAAGTTGTTATTCGATCGACTTAGATCTTATCGATTCGAAGAAGATAACTGAAAACAATTTTCCTTTTTTAAAAATGTACTGTAAGTATTTATTAAATATATTTTCTTACTTATTTTAATGTTTTATTGAAATTATAAGATTTATTTTATAATTTTTATGCAATTAATCTGTGAAAATATAGATGAAACTTAAGATTTCAATTGTTTGATGCTCCGTGCAGTTGCGGTATATAGCATTTCTAATAATTAATTCTGCTTAATTTAAAGTAATAAAGATAGAGTAACATGTGCAGTACAGTATATATATATTTTAATTGTTTGTTAACGGTAGTGGAATTACTGAAATTATTAAATATACAAAACCAAACTTAAAAATATCGTTTCTTTAACAGCAAATCACAAAATAGTCGGTGATGTTGTTATAACGTTTAATTCGAAAGAATTATTTCGACCAACAGTTCCAGTTGGTGCTAAAGTATCAGTTCACTCGAAGGATGAGATAATAAATCCTTTCATCGATGGTTTTCTTGTTAAGCCAGGAAATCGTTACATCGTCCAATTGAAAGTGGTATGAGAGGTTTTCCTGTGTTTTTTATAAATATTCAATTAATATGTATTTAAACTTTAATTAAATTTAAATAAAATCCAGATAGAAGAAGACCTACTTACAAATCCTTACAGTACAAATTGCTCTTATTACGAGCGATCTAAAGAAAAATCTTTTGATGAATTATATACACGTCAGGTAAATATTTA